CACTATACCATATGGTATTGTGTGGTAACGAAATATATATCGATATTACCACACTATACCCTATGGTATTGGGTGGTAACGAAATATATATTGATATTACCACACTATACCATATGGTATTGGGTGGTAACGAAATATATATTGATATTACCACACTATACCATATGGTATTGGGTGGTAACGAAATATATATTGATATTACCACTCTATACCATATGGTATTATGTGAATTGTGTGATATTACCACACTATACCATATGGTATTGGGTGGTAACGAAATATATATTGATATTACCACTCTATACCATATGGTATTATGTGAATTGTGTGATATTACCACACTATACCATATGGTATTGGGTGGTAACGAAATATATATTGATATTACCACACTATACCATATGGTATTGGGTGGTAACGAATTATATATTCATGTGGCAAATATTACCATACCACATGGTATGCTATTGTTTAATACCAATCAATACCATATGGTACAGTCAATACCATATGGTATGACTGGTAATAACTGACAAATTTTTTTGTGTCCAAAAAATATCAAAGTGGATATCATTTTGAAGAGCACAATTAATCTGATCTAACTGTGCAAAAAAAATTAAATTTCGACTTAAAACGAGTGAGAAATCGTCCGTCAAAGATTAAGGAAAGGAAAATTAAATGTTTTGCCAGGAGAGAGAAGGAGGGGTTGATAGGCTCCGGTCAAAAGTGAGCATCAATAATAAATAGGAGTAAGTGCAATTTTACCGTACTACCCTTTTCACATTTAATTTAAATAAAAAAGTGACTGACACGTGGGGACCAGGGAAGGGGTTACTGATGGGTTACTGACCCATCAGCTACTGACAAGATCCGGACCCCTACTCTACGCTTTTTTTTTCTCTCTCTTTTCTTCAGTGGAAAACTGGCAGACTGAGTGAGGTGACTCTTTACGTAATTTTCCCAATATGGATATGTTTCGGATATCATATTTTGGTCAATCTGGTCAAACTCCATTCCACAGTTCACTCACTGCTTCTCAAATAGGAAGTTCGATTGATTTGTAGTTGAGGTTAGTGGTGCAGTCATTGGTCAATTGATTGCTGTTAGTGGCCGGGCTAATTATCAATTTTTGATACACAAAGTCTGAAAGTCGCAAACTCCTTCAAATGCGTAAGCAATAGTTAAGTATGCAAATTTAAATTCATTCAGAAGTCCAAAATCCAACATACTCTCCTTCCTCCTCAACGTTAGCTAAGATCCCTGGCAATTGTCAATCTTTTTTTTTTTTTTTTTTTTTTTACAGTATAACTGTTGTGTCCATTTCACAAATGTGTGTTGCACAAAAAGTTACAGTAAGGATCAGGAACTGTTATCCCGCCATGGGAAGAATGATATATATGAGCACACAATATAATTGTGTTGCCCAATCCACTCTAACATTCTCCATATGTCTGAAAAAACTATATTATGAAAAAACGATGGTAGAAGTGAAAGCACTATCGGTAGAAATTCGAGTGGCAAGTGAGCAAATTAAGATTTTCATGCCTATAGGCTATAGCCCTACCTCCTTGGAATCGTTTAGATGACCATCCTATCGAGTCTCTAATTAGAGGGCAGTGGGGAAGATTATGATGAGTGTGCTTCGAGTTGAGTATTGAGAGATGGCGCCTGAGCTTTTCGTCCTGGGCAAGTCCACCATTGATGGAGCTCATTGTATGCTTTTATTACGTGCTTTCCTCGTATATCAGTTTTTGATCACACAACAAACAAACAAAAACTCTATTTTCGCGTTTCATACTTCTAGCCGAATCTTTCAAAAACAACAAGGCAAGTAAATATACTCGTGTTTTAGGATGAAGGGCAAACCCTAGATAAGCCCCTACCATCAAGGAATCTTAGGCATTCCGCGTCTTGAAACGAGATGCAAATAGTTGAAAATTCAAAAAATTTCAAAAGGAGACTCGTCCCAATTACACGATCCACTAGTCTGAAACTACCAATGTTCTGACAACGAATAAGAGTATGTATATTCTTATTCTACTTCCATGCGTGTGAACTCGTCAAAAGTAAATTAAGGCAACATCACAACTTTTCCAGGCATTTCATTTTCTTTGTGTATGATCTTAAAGTACATTACACAATAACTTAGGGGTCGTTTGGAAGTTGCGATAGTTTTGTTGAGATTGTCATTATGCATGTATTGTTTACAATGCATCGTTTTTTTGTTTTTTTAGCAGAAACAATACATGGATTGTTTTTGTGATGTGACAGAAACTATCACTCATTTGGAGTGATTGTTATATCTTAACTTTTAGTTGTGATTGTTGAGATAGTTGAGTTGAGATTGTTTTGTCTCAGCTTTTAGCTGATGCGACATTCACAATCACACATACCAAACGTTGTATTCTACAATGCATCAAATTCGACAATACATGTATAATATTATACATGCATTCTCAACAATACATCTATTTAACAATCGCAACTTCCAAACGACCCCTTAGGTATTTACTCACCATATATACCCTGATTCTAAAAGTTTTGATTTCTTGGATAATCAAACATTTATGTTTTTATAATTTATTTACACACCTTTTTATTTACTAATGAAATGAGGTCCTTATGAACTGCCGTTTTGGATGGCTTGTTCTCGAAGCAACCATTATAAACCCTCTACTAAACCCCGACTTATTAGCACTCTGTTAGACAGTTACTCTCTTCCACCGAAGCCTCCATATCCAGGAAAAAGGAAACAGAGAGAGAGAGAGAGAGAGAGAGAGAGAGAGAGAGAGAGAGAGAGAGAGAGAGCGCCATTTCGATGGAATCGATTCAGGTCCAAGAAATGAGCGGTGGAGAACTCCTCAATCAAGAAATCCAGCAGATCCAGGAAACCAATGAAGCAGCAGAATCCATCGATTTAGCCGTCCTCCGCTTGAATTCCGACGACCACCACCACTCCCACTCCTCTCACTCCCCTTGCCAATCCTGCGGTTGCTCCGGCGGCCCCTCTTCCTCCAGAAACAACAAGCGCCGATCGTCGGACGCGGGATCTTTCTTCACTCCTCCTCTGCCCCCCGCCGCCGCCGGCATGGAGAACCCAGACCGCGATTCCCGATTCCAGCTCGCCAAGAGGCCCAAGAAACTCTTCTCCGAATCTTCTCCCGAAACCCTCGCCGGCGTCGTCATTCCGCCGGGGTTCTCCAAGATCGCTCTCCCTCTCTCCGCCCAATCGATTTCTCCACCACCAGCGGGATCCCCCGCCCTCGTCGCCGCCGTCTCTCCCAATCTCCGCTGCGGTTCTTCTCAAAATCTAATTCCTCAATCGCCGGCCACCAGTAACGTCGTCCCAAACGATTCGCCCACGCCGTCTTCCAAGGCACCGGGATCCGCTTCCCGCCCTCCCCTGCCGCCGTTGAGGAGATCGTGGTCGCTACCGTCGCCTGATAAACCGGCTCCTTCAGCTTCCAACGACGCCGCATCAGGCAATCCCCCACACCATGAAGAGGTTAGGCAAATACTTTGTCCTTCTATCTTGAATTCTTGTTAACCCCATTTCTCGATTCTTGAATTGGGTTATGCCATTATTAGTCGTTTCTTTGCTGTGAAATCAGTTATTCCCTTTGAATTGGGGTTAGATGAACTTAAAACCAGTGTGGTGTATGAAATGGCAGAAACTGAAGGCAGTGGGGAATTGGATCAAGGAGGTAGCTAAGTGGTGGGATGAATTTCACACTGTTGATGAGATGCCAGTAGTAGTCGACCAGGCAGAGAAGAAGGTCCCCGATGATGATGATAATGCCTATAATGCAGTTAAGGTATACTGCTTAAGTTAGTTTCATTGTTGAATTGATTGAGTTGATTGTGTTCAGGGAATTGCATCTTGGGTTAAGTGGTAGACGATGAATGTGGTGGGATTGTTTTTTTCTGGTTCATTGCAGGATGGCAAAGAGTCTGCAGGTTGTGAAGAGTCAGTGAATGTGGAGAGAACAGGTGAATGCTTGATCATAAACTTCAAGTGTCCATGCAAGAAAGGGTATCAGATTCTTCTCTCTGGAACCAGCTGTTACTACAAGCTCATGTAGATGATTCTGTGCTGATCTCCAAGATGCTGATGCCCAAATTTACAGTAACAGGCACTTCATGTATAGAGTGCTGTAACTCATTCTTTAGGTTTTGTTACCTTGTTCATAGAATCTCTTTTCTGAAGAAACTATGCCACCTGAGAAGAAGGGTATGGGTTTCTGATTGTCTTTTTCGAAGGGAGGGTTTTCCTTGTATAGACAGATGAGGCAGATTCTTCGAGCAGCTAGCTCAATGGCTGCTTTACTTACCCCCATGTCAGCTCGTTGCTGTTGTTGATAATGAATAAAACTTGACTGCAATTTTTGAGGAATGTTGATACACTCTACTGGTTTCGTTCTACTATTCGCATGGATGATGTGCCTGCAATTTGGCGCAAAAGGACTGATCTTTACTTGTAATGATCCTCTCCACATTACTAAATGGTTAAAATCTGGAAAGTTTTGTATGTGAATTCTGTTCATTCGCTGCCCAGCACTTGAGAACTCTGCTTATTCTGATGTTTCAGTTGCAGTGCTGGCCTGCTGGGGGCTAATTACTTGAAGTTCAAGTTTCCATGCGGCCATGCTCAAAAGCGATTAACTTGGGACTCTTGGGCTATGACTAAGGTCGGGTTCTTAATTTTTACCTGAAAACTGGAAAGGGTTGAAAATTTCATAAGCAGGTCAACCGTTGACTACAAACAAGTCAATTGTTGAAAATGGGTCGAGAATTGTTTCACTTCACCTTAGGCCTAGACGCCTAGTTAATCGATTAGCTACCGAACCCGCTCCAGGTCCATTTAAGAAAGCAATTAGCTTTACACTAGCCCAGCCCAAAAACGGCCCAGGCAAGGCTGCCGCCATCGTCACCGATTCAACACTCTGCGTTTATTCCAGATCTTCGAACAATCGCGGTGGAGTTTAGTCCAGCTGATTCCAGAAGTTGCATCACCGCAAAATGCCTTCAGGCGATTCAAATCGGCAAGATGGAGACGCCGGACGGCGATCACCTTCTCCTTCGTTCTCCGAGAATTGGAAGGAGCGTATATTAATCCCCACAGTTCTGGCAGGTTGTTTTTTTAATTGTCATTTTCTCACCTTCACCTTCTCCTCCTTTGCTCGCCTCTTTGTCCGAAATCAGTGTAATTGAAGGACCCTTTGGTTTTTGATCGGCAGGAGCTGGTGGCGGAGGATTCGGGTTGGTATCTAAGCAACGGACAGTGCAAGGGTTCCCTCACGTTTCTGCTGCTTACGCTGCTAATTTCGCCATCGTCACTGGTTGCTACTGCGGTAAAGATCTTCCCCTTCCTATTCTGGAATTTCCTTTCCTGTTGTGCTTGTATTGTAGCACCTCTATGAAAATGAAACGAACTTCCACCATTGATGGTTAGTGCCAGGGTTTGATTATGGAGGCTTACTTGCTTTAGCTGAAATCCCAACAGAGGAAAATTCCATGGGAGATCTTTAGATGTTCAAAGGGTTTCTGATATTTTTTTTTGTAAAGAATGGCTTAACAAGAAAGTTACGGTGCTCTGGGGAATTCTTAGGGGGGATACTTCTTGATTTACTGTTACCATTTTGTTGGCGACTCCCCCTCCATCTTGAAACATTTGCATGATTGATGCTTACATGTCGGGAAGGATTTCGCTTTCTCCTGGAATTGGTTGAATTCATTCTCCTGTTCTGCATTTCGTTGGATAAAAAAGCTGCATCAGCCAAGTATGCTTGGCAGCTCGCACAATTTGGTTTTGTGGGGGAATGCCAATGATATTTCGAGGACCGCTAGAGTGATATGTAATGTAAGTACCGAGTTGAATGATATCCTTCAGAAACTTGTAGGAATTTACTATTTTCATGTCCACTCACATCTAGAAGAAAGCAGGTAAATTAGACTTCTAATTAGATTTTCCATTAGACTGGATGAGTGGCGCCAGCCAGGAGGCCCAGGACCATTTCGAGTTGAAGACATGTAATAGTGAGAGTACAGACTATGTTGAGAGGAGGATATTGATAACTGTAATAAGCTATAAGTGGTGCTCTGGATGTATGATTTGTGATCAAAACTCGAATTTGTCCACCATACGTTTTGTTGAAGGACCAACAAGTTATGTAGACAATTCATGATCTAACTGGAATGCAACGGCTTATCTACAGGTGCAAGGGAGTTCGTAAGAGTAACACGTAAATCAGACCCTGATGATCTGCTGAACTCTGCCATTGCTGGTTTCAGTACTGGTGCTCTTCTTGGACGTTTTCAAGGTAAACTCTATCACCTCTATTTGACTCTCTCTTATCTGTCTCTGGAAATCTGAAGTGCTTCTGTTTTTTGAGTTGCAGCTGGCCAACTCGGCGCTATTCGCTACTCTTTCATCTTCGCTGTCGCGGGGACCTCAGTTGATTTCGCTACCATAAAACTCAGACCGAAACTAAAGAGTCTAAAAGAATCCATATTTGGCAGCGAGGAAAACAAAGATGGTGGGTGGAAGTTACCTGAGTGGTTTCCCATACAAGTGCTCGACGAGGAAGCCCTGGCTAAGAAAGAAGCTAGAGAGAAACAACTTCACGCACAAAGAGCAGCTCTTGCAAAACTAACGAAAGGAGAGTCTTAAAAAAGCAAGAACCCTTTTTCGTAATTTTGTCGGAGTCCCAGTTGTTTACTTGTTTTAGCTGCCTGGCTTTCACTGCAACTGTAACTCAGCAAGCTGTGAGTTCTCTTATTGTACAAAAGAAGTTGCAAGCCATAATAGATTATTCGACTTCACTATACTGGCATACGATACTTCCAGCAAGAGTGGAATGTATCGAGTTTTTTGCTGGGCTCGTGGTTCGACTTCTATGATGGATTCACAAGTATCTAATGTGTTACTAAAGGTAAATTCGAGACATGGAGTAGTTTGGATTCCGATATAGATAAAGTAAAGTCACTATCAGGAGTAAGTTTTTGTTCTGATATAGATCAAGCTTATTACAGGTTTATTGTTATTCGCAAGTTCTTACCGTAGATTAGGCGATTTCTCGAAACAGTTTTTTCGTATGAGTTTACAGCTGCCATCACCGTGCTATCTGCCAACCACCAGAATTTGGGGCTATTCATCTCCAAACGCAAAGTCTGAAACAAAATCAGCATTGCAAGCTCCACGCAATAAGTTGAGTCTTTGAGTGTCGTTTGGGGTAGATACAGAGTTTGGGGCAGGTTAGAAGGAGGGAACGATTAAAACTGCATAACTCTGATAGGGATGCCAAAGACTTCTATCACTACCCGCTAAACTACAACAAGAAGAACCCTAGTTTACAACTACATCTTCACACAAAAGCATGCTCTAATTAATCTCCATCCCAGGTAAGGCTCTAAATGGCCCTACCTATGAGAGCAGTGAAACTAAGGAGACGAACTCCAAGGTGACTCGGCCTTTGGACCTTGTGTTTATGACAAAATGCTCGGGGTATCTTCTCAGCAACATGAGCAAGCCGTACCATGGTTTCTCCTTGGCTTCGGGGCTCTTCCACTCCTCAGATGTTAGATATCTTCTCACTCGACTGTGATGCCACACGCTGCTAAACTGTTCCAACAGCTGAAACACGGGTACAAAATTGTACGAGGTTATTTGATAAGCTTCTGAGGATCTTGCTCAACAACATACTTATTCATTGCAGGCTAAGCATCTCTAATCAATGACGGGTAGAATCAAAGGTAGCAGAGCACTATTATGGAGAACAAGAATCCCTTTCTTTCATTATGCAAGATGATAGAACAAATCCAAACGGAATTGATTCTGAGTAAGGATATTTTTTATGTGTCAAATGCATTTTCCTATCAAATCAGAATCTTTTTGAGTGGATTGATGAGACGACCGTGTCTGGAGGACCTGGGAACTTAAAGAAAGGGGTGTGCCAACAACAGAAAAACGCAAATGAAAGAAAAAATGTACACATCCATGTAATCATAGGAAGATTTCTACTGCAGAATCGATAACTAACCTCCGCATGGAGTTTCTCCATAGGCATCCATTCTCCAGGCCCACATAGATCAGATAGCACGGTGGCTACGGATGACACCACATCCTTTTCCTCTAACTGTTTGAGTTGTTGATCATCTGCATCACGGTCAGCTCTAGACCTTCCATCTGCCTTATTCTCTGCAGGAGCAGAATATAGAGCCATGACAATTCCAACAAACAGACAGCAAAACAAACATAGATCAAGGAGGGATTACATATGACTTATGAGACAAGACATTTTACCATACAAAGATATAAAAAATAGAAACCTAGTTTTCAAGTTGAGAAAAAGTATGAACCCATGTTCGTCAACAAGTAAACTATAGCTGACTTCAAGCATGCTTATAGTTTACGGCTTCAAGCAATGAATCCACCTTCTATCCACAAAATGAAGTCCCTACTAACTCTAATCATCAATGACTTGATCTCAGCAACTCAACTGGATTTGTTGGAAACAAGCTCACTAATTTGGGGATGTCAGTAGATGCACCCACCATACATGGCAAATACAGCTTATAAGGAGAAAATGATGATATATAGACCAAAGTCCAAACCGTACAGCAATTTGCTGGATCCCCCTCTCATCCTTCTGAAAGAACACATCAACCTGATTGAAATCACTAAATTCGGTAGCATTCAAGTTTAATTGTCAACTAAACATAAACACAAACACAAATTCTCGAAATCGTTCAACTTTTTTTATATCAGCAAAAGGACCAGTTGCACAACGTAGAAGCCTTGCAATTTTATTTGAAAGAGAAGGTAATCTATTGAATCAATATTGTTGAGTGCCCACGAGGCACATTTCATTGAAAACAATAGCTCAAGCAAGGGTGTAGTTGTCTAGCAATTTGAAATGGCTCAAATAGGGGTAACTAAAAACAATCTCAGGTATAAACACATAGTGGAGGCTGTATTCCCATCTAAGAAATGGAATCATCAGTTGGACTAAAGTGATTCTGCGAGAGTTCAGGGTAAATATCAACACAATCCACATTAAGCCAGACAAAATGCTTCAGCCCCATATTGAGACATAATTGATATGGAAGCAGCATCATACTGCAAAAATATTAAGACCTCCAAGTTCCAAACTTGCAACTATCAAGGAACAGTTGCGAGAAATGACATAGCTTTCACATTATCAAAACTATTTCAAACCAAACAATTCGATACTATGGAACTCGGATAACATCCTTACCCGATTGAGTTTTTAGACATGGCAGCAAACTCAATTAGCAGAAAACAATCCATTCAATACAACCATCGTTCTGAAACTTTTAACCCAAAGCGGCAAAGCTTACAACCATCAATATGCCAGACAGAGCTTGAAAATGTATAGCTGTTTTTCAGTTTTCCAGTAAATGTATATCTATACAAGAACAATTCCAGTTTGCCATTAAACATACTCTTACAATTGAAATGACTTGAAAAATGATAGCAGCAGGAGAATAGAAACGAGAGAACAAAAGTTTCACCTCTTCTACTGACCTAATGATCCATGAAACCCAACTTTACCATTGTACGAACCACCCGAACCGTATCCATACCCGTCGTACCCATCTCTCCTCATCTTCTTCCCACTGCTACTCCCCCCGCCGCCGCCGTTATTCTCCTCCTCCTCATCAACCTCCGCCACGTAATAGTCCTTCCGTCTCCCTTTCTTCCCGGCACCACCGCCAGCAGTCGGCAGCAAAGCCCTCTCCGCCCCATGATACCCGTACTGCGGCGGCGTAGGCACCACAGGCACGTGATGCCTCGGCCCTAACCCCCCGCCCAAAATGCTCCTCACCGGGAGCAGAAAGTAGAATTCCTTGTCCCCGATCTGCAGCAGATCCTGCGAATCGAGCTTCACGAGAGGGTTCCCTGGCAGGTGGAGGACGCCTTCCACCAAACATCCGTTTTTCCCCAGGACCTCGAGAGCGAATCGCCGGCGGGTGAAGTCGTAGAAGATCCGAGCGTGGTGGCGGGAGATGTTCATCCCGCCGCCGAGGCTCGTGAGATCGACGTCGACGGTCGATTTCTTGGAGTTCCGTCCCAACACGATCGAGTAGGTTTGCATATAGTACTCGAAATCCTCTCCCTGCAGCTTCGCGAATCCGGCTTCCACATCGCTGCCGCTCGCCGTCCCCATCGCAACCGCGAATTCCGAGATTCGTCGTCGGAGATGAAAAGAACACGCACGAAGTAGTTTTCTCGGCTAGACCAGAAAACCAACTGCTTGTTTGGGTATGGATTTTATACTATTCCACGTGGCATTCCTTATTCCTAAATTGCCCTTATGAACGAGCCGTCCAGACTCCAGGCTCCAGATAGAACTTCTAAAAAACGACACCGTTTCGTTTTCGATCGGACGCTGGATCTTTTGCCGTAAACCTCCTTGTCGCTGCGAAAAGTTCGTCTTCAGGATTCGGCAACTCAATCTTGCGCTTTTCGCCGGCACAAATTAGTACACCTCTAAACCCTAGGATCGCCGCTGGCGCCACCGTTGGGCGACTCCGTAGTCAATTGTGGGGTTAAGGGTTTTGATCTCCGGGGATTTGGATACTTTTTTTTTTTTTTTAATAAAGTCATAATATTGAGGAACCAAAGTGGTTGCCAGATGATGATTTGGGGGATAATATTTGCGCAAGGGCTTTGAGTAGTTTCCGTGGCTGACAATGCCATGGCAGCGAATGAGAAACAAACCCCACCCAAATGTGTCTTCGTGATGGCAACATATGGTCGAACAAGTTGGCTTCCAGTTCTTCGGCTGTGCTTGGTTTCTGGTGCATTCTTCTGGGTCTGCGTTCTTTGAATTGTTTTCGCAACATTCTCAGCTGGCATGAGGTTCCAATGAGTACTGGTTATTAGGGTATAAGGGAGCATTTTTATTTCCAATGAAGCATAGATCCAAGATTATTGCATTGCTCGGAGCTCTGCCTTTTGGATTGCCCTCTTGCAGGCATCTGTTGTTTGATTTTGTGCCTTCCTATATTTGGGGTGGCGAGCCTCGTCTATATTAGCGGTTACATGGCACGCGTGTTAGTTTAATCTTGGTATTTTGAACATTTCGGTTTGTCGAACTGCCTCTTTTTGGCATCTGATCGCGCATAGAAGCTGATTTAAGTTACCAGCCTGCCATGTATACTTTGCTACTTGGTTCCTCTGAACAGACTTTATGCTTGAGAGGATCAAAACTTAGATATAGACCGAGGTACAGAAGCTTAATACGAAAAAAACGTGGATAAAACCAAACGGAGGTTGAAGACGAGCGACATGGTGATTTACCCTTGTTGATTATACAGAAATACTTTGGCATGTAATGATTGATAGTTAAATGCTTATCTAGCCTTTTGATAGAACGTTCCTTGATACTCTCTACAACTGCCAAATATTATTGTCCTGTCATTGACCTGCTATTGGTTACTGATCGTAGTAGGGTTTATGCAATTTCCTGCTTGCTCTCGAGAAGCATTGTTGTTAAAGCTGGTGAGTTCCCTCTGACCTCTGTTCTTTCTTTCTTTCTTGCCTGCTGTTTTCTTTTTACTTTTCCCCCCAAGTTGTGTTGTTCAGATTTCTATTGAGTGAGAATGCGGGAAGTGTACCCTATAGGGTGGTGCTACGTTTTGCATGTGTGTCTAAAGATGCTAAAGCACCGGGACATCTTGGTGGTGTTTCTGGATACTTGCAAACTTTGCAATGCATTGTGGTTTGTGCTAGCAGGACATTGTTGAGGCAAAATAATTTTCTACAGCAAAAAGGGGGTTGATGTTGCTTCATATTGATGACTGTTCATGATGTGGAAAGGTAAGTTATTTTTGCTGCGAAAAGGATCTGAGTTGCATTGCAGGGGACGAATTTCAGTGAGTTTACTTAACCTGCCCTTGGTGGTGCCATGGTGACGTTGAATATGCTTCTCGACTATTTAATTCACTTCCCCACCAGTTTGACATTGTAGACAATGTTCCTATCAACTTGGCACAACTAATGATCTCACCAGTTCACTGCACAAGGTGAAGGCTTGTTGATATCTGGCATACTTTATTTATTACTATTTAAATTTGGCTTTAATTGTTGCCGTTGTTATGATTACATCTTAAAAATTGAAGCAAAGCATTCACAAAAAGAAGGAAAGAAAAGGCACTACAAAAGGAGATGAAGTTCCCACTGGCCGAGATTCTTGTCTCTCTTTACATGTGCTTCTGGCATGGATTTTGGTCTTTGTTTAATTATCTAGGTCTCCCCTCTGTGTAGCATAAAAAGTAGTTTTCTCTGAAAATGACTAATATTTCTGATAACAAATAGGTTTTGCTTCGGTCTGTGTAAAAGATACAGCACATAGAAAGAAAGAGACAGAGGCAGGGACTAGTGGTGAGATCCTTAATTTTCCAGTGATGAGATCTTCTTCTATGCCAGACCCTCCTCTTACAACTGGAGAGTACGAGGTTTTTCTGAGCTTCAGAGGGCCAGATGTGCGCCAAACCTTTGCTGATTGTCTTTACCACTTTCTTATTCACTCCAAGATTCGAACTTTTAGAGACGAGGAAGAACTGCGCAAAGGGGAGGAGATAGCGCCTTCACTTGTCCAAGCTATCTCTGAGTCCAAAATCCTTATCCCAATCTTTTCGCAAAACTATGCTTCTAGCAAATGGTGCCTTCAAGAGCTGGCGAAGATGGTGGAGTGCTGGAAGAAGCAGGGAAAGGGCGGTGGCCGAACCACCATCCTCCCCATTTTCTACTTGGTCGATCCCAGAGATGTGCGCCATCAAGAAGGTGCTTACGAGGAAGCATTCCGACGCCACAGTCTGAAACAAGACCAACAAACTATAAAGCAATGGAAGGAAGCCCTCCTTGAAGTTGGCAAAATGAAAGGATGGCACGTGGCAGGATCAGATGGGTAATGTGTGCTTTTGTTTATTCTCCCCCATTCAATTTCCTTTCATTCTTCTTTATCATAACCTACTTTCTAATAATGTGAAAACTGTATCTGATTTGCAGACATGGAGCTATACTAGAGCAGATCTTTGTTAAAGTTGATTCACTTCTGAGAACTAATTACACATTGTTGACGGATGAATTGGTTGGAATCGATGTTCATGTAAACAAAGTGGTTCAGCTGTTGAATCTGGATGCTGCAAGTGAAATGATTGTGGGTATCCATGGTATGGGTGGCATTGGCAAGACCACCATAGCAAAGACAGTCTTCAATAAGGTTTGCACTCATTTCGATCGCTGTTGTTTTATCGAAGATGTTCGAGAAACGTTATTAAAGGCCGACGGTGTTGTAGTCTTACAAAATAAGATCATTTCTGGTGTTTTGAGGTATGATCATTGCAATGTAAACAATGCTAGCGAAGGAATCCACATGATGGTAGATAGAATTTGCAAACACAGAGTTCTCATTGTTCTAGATGATGTCGATGCCAAGTTTGAGTTCGACAAAATCTTCGGAAAGTTGGGAAATTTCTCCTCAAAAAGTAGATTTATTATTACAACAAGGGACAAAAGAGCTCTAGAGCTACTTCAAACAGATAAGTTGCACGAACCAGGAGGTATGAGTCATGATCACTCTCTTCAACTTCTTAGTAAACATGCTTTTAAGATGGATAATCCTCCAAATGAATATACAGCTTTAGCTGAGAAGTTTTTAAAGGTCGCAGCAGGGTTACCTTTGGCACTCAAGGTTGTAGGATCATTGTTGTTTCGGACTGACACAAATTTCTGGAGAGCAAAGTTGAAGGAGCTAAAAGAAGTACCCACAGTAGAGGTGCAACAGATTTTGAGGATTAGTTACAACGAGCTAACTCCCAATGAAAAACAGATATTTCTCGATATCGCATGTGTTTTCATAGGCGACTACAAAGAAGTGCCTTTTTATATGTGGAGTAGTTGTGATTTTAATCCAGAAATCGGGATGAGAACTCTGGTTAATAGGTCTTTGGTTAGAATCGATGAAGAGGGCCAATTTGGGATGCATGATCATCTTAGAGATCTTGGCAGAGCTATTGTTAACGAGGAAGATGTTCAGAATCCATGCAAGCGCAGCAGGATATGGTCCAATGAGAATGCATTGGACATGCTAGCAAATAGAGAGGTATTGTTTGTCCTATTTTTGTGACTTGTTTGTGTGCATGCATATTAGATAGATAAATGTTGAAGAAAACTTTTTCTTTTATAATTTTCAGCGAGTATGTAAATGTACAAACTGAATATATATATTCACTAGCTCAGGCTTGGCTTATTTATTCAGGAGAGTTGCTGATCCCACTCATGTACTCATTTCATTTCCATATGTTAGGGAGGTGATCAGGTGGAAGTCCTCAGAGTTGACATGAGAAAGAATGAAGCTCGTCATGAGTTCACAGAGAAGGAATTCAAAAATCTGTCTAGGTTAAGGTATCTTGAAGTGAATTATGGCAGACTCTCTGGGGATTTCAAAGAAGTTCTTCCCAGTCTATGTTGCCTCCGACTACATAGCTGTGATTCAATTCCCACTGATCTTCACTTGAAGAAGTTGGTCATTCTTGATTTGAGCTTTTGTCCTATTAAAGAAGGCTGGAGAGGCTGGCAGGGAATCCAGGTTTTTAATTCGATTTTGTTTTGTGTTTCCCTTTTAAGTTTCCATTGCCCCTTAGGTTAGTTAATTCACTATGAACCCCATAATTGACACGGTTTAGGATACAACTTACAAGAACTGTCAGTTAGACTGTGCTCCTTGATTCACCTGCCATCATATATTTGGATGCAGAAGGCAAAGAAGCTGAAAGTTGTGATTCTACTGGAGTGCCACGATATAAGGAGAGTTCCGGATTTGTCCCCTTGTACAAGCCTGGAGTTGATAAAGCTTCTAAGCTGTTATAAGATGAAGGGGGACTTGCACATTGCTGGTTTCAAGAACCTAAGAGTTCTGAGTCTCAGATCTACTCAAATAGCAAAGATAATAACAGGTGACATGGAAATGCTTGAAAATCTGCTGGAGTTTAGCGCGGAGGATGCTGGTTTGACAGAATGGCCTGCCAGTCTTTCCAGATTACCCTGTCTGGAAATCCTGAAAATGACATCATCATCATGCACAAAAAAGTTGAGCCTAAAGCAACTATCCTTGTCCTCCCCGAGGGAAGCACCCCTACTCCCCACAAGTCTAAAGCAACTATCCTTGTCCTCCCCAAGTGTTCCCAATCTTATGCAGCTTGTGGAGTTGGAGGAGCTTAAGTTTGAGTGGTGTGGTGAGGCAGGCCCTGAAATCCCTGCAGAGATATGGCGCCTCTCCAAATTGAGGACTCTGGAGATCTCGTCAGCCTCCCCTGTCTTCGTAACGATGGAGGGCTCCCTCCCATCATCCCTGACCAGCCTCCAGATTCATTTTTGTGTTGCTTTGGAGAAGCTCCCAGGCCTTGCGAACCTCACTAACTTGACAGAACTAAGACTTGTAAAGGTCGGGGTATCTGAGATTTGTGGGCTAGGCGAGCTCGCAGTGTTGACGACTCTGGAGGTACGTAATGCCCCGAGGCTAAGTAGCCTCGACGGCCTTGAAAATCTCGTGCTTCTCATGAAACTGACGGTGAGCAACTGTGGGGTCCTGCCAAAACTTCCCGACCTAGTGAAACTGATAAAGTTGCAGGCTTTAGAGATTCAGGAGTGTCAGCTTCTATCGGAAATGCAAGGGATGATGGCAATGAAGGAATCGTTATCCCATCTCGACATAGGTCGGTGTCCCAGCTTAGACTGTATCGAAGGCTTTGAGTCCCTGGCATCTTCGCTAGAGACACTGTCATGGTGGGAGCTGAAGATGCAACCACCTGATGCTATCTCAAAGTTCAGGCACCTGAGGCGTTTAGCCTTTGTCCAAGTTGGTAATCTGGTCACAACTCCTGATCTCTCTGGCCTCCTGAACCTCAAACGCTTGGAGATCCTGACGTGCAGACAGTTGATCCAGATTGTGGGGCTCGATGGGCTGGAATCGCTAGAGGTGCTTTTCATAGAAACTTGCAGCTCGATCAGGGAGTTGCCTAGCCTATCTAGGCTCAAGAATTTGCAGCGGTTACAGCTAACACTCTGCACGAAGTTGACCCACATCACCGGGTTTGAGGGGTTGCAATCTTTGCAAGAGCTATTTGTATATCATTGCTGGTCCATTGCGGAGTTGCCTGATCTGTCCAGCCTTCATGATCTGTGGGGGCTGTACATTTTTAGGTGCAACAAGTTGACAGAGGTCAAGGGGCTCCGGGGATTGGAGTCCTTGGGGAACCTATCCATTACAGATTGCCGGTCGATGAAGGACTTGGAAGATCTATCTAAGCTCAGTAATCTGAGGGAATTGAGGATTACAGGATGCAGAATGTTGACCGAGGTCAAGGGAGTTGAGCGATTGATGTTGCTGCGAGTGCTGAAACTGGACCTCCGGTTTAGAGTCAGATCGTTACTGAAATCGGTTGCCAGATACGTGACTCGACTCATTACTCGCTTCCTGGGGCTCTTACTAATTTTAGTTCTCTTGCTTTTCATTTTCAACAGCCAGTGAATGTGAGCGGTTGAAGTTAAAACCAATGTCCGCTTAAGTGATGAATACTTATCAATTTGACAGAATTCCAATGAATGTGACCATTTCACTCTCGACTTCATTTATTATAACACTTAAGATTTTATTGACATTAATGAAATTGGAGCGCTTCTTGTTAGAGGTGGCAATTGGATCGGATTCGTGGATTGGATTGGTGGATCCATGGATCAAATGGATTGGATCCAATGGATTGGTGGATTCATGGATTGGATCCAATGGATTGGTGGATTGATCCATGAATCCAAATAACATCCAAGGCTTGGACCAAAATGTAAATTTTGAAAAGTTTAGGTACTAAAATGTCATAATGAAAAATTGTAGGTATCAAAATGTAAATTTTCAATGATTTTTTCGTATAAAAATATAAATTTTAGGTACCAAAATGTAAAATATAAAAATATAGGTACCAAATCGTAATTTGCCATTTGGATCCATGGATTGATCAATGAATCCACCAATCCAATTGGATTTGGATCAAATGGATTGGATTAAGTGGATAATTTGGTGGATGGATTAGATTGGATTCATGGATTTGGATCATAATTGCCACCTCTACTTCTTGTAGAGGAAAAAAGAAGTTTATCTCGTTGTTTCAAGTAACTCTGTCGTAGAGCCTGGGATGGACTCCGCCACAGGAGGGATGGGTGCAAATCAATATAGATGGATCGATTTTTGCATAAGATAAAGTTGCAGCAAGAGGACTAATCACAGATCAATGGGGCAGATGCTATGATGTTTTCTTCGTCAATCTGGGATCATGCTCCATCACTGGAGCAGAATTGAAAGCAGTGGAAGCCGGGCTGTCTGTTGCCTAGAGGAGGGGTTTAGACGAGTCTGCCTTTGTTTGGATTCAACAATGGCAATCAACATCATTCGCAACAAGCATGATACTGACCATAGACATGGAATCCTAACCCTAGAGATTAATCGTTTGCTTTTCATTGACTAGGAAGTTTCAATTTCCCACACCTATATAGAGTGCAATTTTGCTGCCGACTTTCTGGCCAATAAAGGATATGATATGCAATTTGACACACATAATATCGACTTGAATGATCCAGAACTTCGCTACGGGTTAATGTATAATGTAATGAGGTTATCCCAAGAACGTTCAGTTTTTACTTGGTGCTTAGACACCATTGCCTATTTTGTTACAAAAAAAGTAAACTCTTTTGTAACGTTGGTAAAACGAGTGATCGTTACAGACAATCCATTTTCTTCTCTCGTTTAGCGAGAGCGGCATTGCGGCGGAACCCTAGGGTTTTCAGAATAATATTAGGTTTTGGTGTTCGAGAGGAAAAAGGATTGCGAGTCTATAGTCTGTGGATTCATATATAGAGGATACAGAGTTTGTCAAAACACGAGGTATGCTGTAGGGTTTACAATCTTTCGTAAGAAAGGTTTTCCTGTGACAGATTTTGAGAAGAAGGGGTTGGCTTGGCTACATAAGAGAGCGTTGAAAAGGGAGACTCGCTGACTTCCCCTGAGACTGGAGACCAACCACCTAGTTCAGAGGGAGATTTGCTCGAGCAGCTGGATAAGTTCAATATTGAGGACGAGGATGAAGAGCCGTTATTGGTGGAAGATTCTGACGTTGATGTGATAAGAATGGAAGCTGTACGCCGTTTGGGGTTGATTGGAAGGCTGGTAGCTCACAAACAACCAAACATCAAATCATTGAAGATTGCGTTAGCAAAAGCTTGGAATACAAGAAAGGGTTTTCAAGTAACTGACCTGGGAGACAAGCTCTTCGCTTTTCAGTTCCTGGACATGGATGATCGTAACAAGGCTTGCTATGGAGGGCCATGGCATCATGAGAATAACATCATGGTTTTTGCATCAAGCTATTTGATTAAGAAATCAGTGCCGAAAGACCTGCATATGATAGATCTATGGATTCAGATTAAAGGTTTTCCAGCCGAGTTGAGAACTCCAAAAATGGTGGAGAAAATTACAGCACGTTTTGGTACGCTGGTGTGGTTTGATGATAGTACAGAGACAATGTGGGATGATTATCTCCGCATTAGGGTTAATCTCTCAATCAACAACCCACTCAAGAAGAAGCTGAAATTAAATATCGGTGGAGAGCTGGTGGAATATGTGGTTAAATATGAAAAACTTCCTATATTCTGTCAATCATATGGCAGAATTGGTCATCCCAAGCTAAGATGTCCCAGGTCATCGAATCTTAATGTGGATCCGTTTGGAATGGAGATGAGAATAGGGGTCCCATGACCTAGGAATTGGAGGTCGTATACTGCTAAAATGGAGGACGCTGAAATATGGGCAATTCTTAAGAAGAAGTTTGATATGGAAAGCGTAGGGTCAAATTCTGAAAACGAGCCCCTCTAGTAGGTGGGAAGATGGAAGACAATATAATGCAAGCAGACTCGAGAGGTGAAAGGAAGGCAATGGAAGTGGAGCCATCAAAGGCCACACCTGATCTAGTTTCGTAAGGCAACAAAAGTAAGACAGTGGTGGAACAAAATGATAAGAGAACTCAAGCCAAGGAAGTAATTGCTGAGGGAGGCAATTTGGCGACGGGGGCACTAAAAAAATTCACAATGGGCAGTGGAGTAGGGCTGATAACAAGAAGACCTGCAGGTAATGTGTGGCGCAGGCAAGAGCAAAAGAAAGCATGGATTCCAGTAGGAACCCAGGTTACACCACAGAAGAGAAGTAAAGATATGCAGAGTGGGGACATGGAGATAAAGGTGGAGGCAACAGTACAACAAAAAAAGGTTAAAGTACTGGACTTCACATGTTTACACAGTGAGAAGCAACAAGGGAATCAACAAGCATTGGATGGCGAACAGGCGGACTCTGTCAAGGGACAGAGCCGCCCAACTCAATGAATGCTGTAAGCTATAATTGTCGAGGGTTGGGGAATCCCTCGGAAATTAAGAAGGTGTATTTTTTGTTACAAAGACAAAATCCTCAAATAGTCTTCTTAATGGAGAAGAAAAGAATGAATCGCGAGTGGAGGGAAACTATGGGGAAGTTGGGATGGACATATGGATTTGGAGTGGGATCGAGAGGTAGAGCAAGTGATCTGATGGTTCTTTGGCAACCAAAAGTGCACCTGGAAATTAAAGGATACTCTGACAAAAATCATATCGACATGAGAGTGCTGGATGATGGGCGGGAATGGAGGCTAACGGGCATATATGGCTGGCCAGAACAGGGAAATAAACATCGAACATGGAATCTACTTACACAACTGAGGGATTTAGTGGACCTGCCTTTGTTGGTAACAAGGGACTTCAACCTGGTCCAATGCTATGTAGAGAAAAATGGGAAATACGAAGCTGATGAAAAGGAAATGGAGGGCTTTAACAGAGCATTGGAGGAGTGCAACCTAGAGGATTTGGGCTTCTATGATAGGAGATTCACGTAGGATAATATATAATCATAAAGACGATACTTTCTTGGAAGAAAGGTTAGATAGGATGGTGGCTACTAATAATTGGATGAACCTTTACCCGGAGGCTCGAGTGTACCACTTGAATCGTTGTGGCTCTGATCACAACCCATTATTCTTACTAACGCAGCTAAGTGAGCCTGAGATTTAGTGGGGATCATCGTTCAGATATGAAGCCTACTAGCAAAATCACCACGAGGAGTGGAAGAAAGCAAGAAATGGATCAATCATGGACAGAATTAAAGCATGTGAGTCTACCTTATTGAGTTGGAGTAAAGCGACATTTGGAAGCCTGCGATATAGGTGAAAGTAAATTGAGAAGGTATTGGGACGAATTAGTAAGATGCAAATGAATCAGGCTCTAATCCAGCAGAGGGATGCCCTAGAGAAACTGGACGAGATATTGGAACAAGAAGAATTGAAGTGGAAACAACGATCAAGAACAGAATGGCTAAAAGAGGGAGATAAGAATACGAAGTACTTTCATCATCGAGCATCAAAGAGAAGGAAGAGAAACACGATTAGACGATTAAAAGATGGGAATGAGGTAGTTTTTGAAGGCCAAGAGAGGGTTTTTGCCTGCTTGGTTTCTTTCTACAAGCAGTTATATTTTGCTGGTGCTAGAGTGCCTAGTAACCAAATCATTGACTCAGTACCAAGGAAGGTGACATAAGAAATGAATCAGACACTAATGCTACCTTTAACACGGGAGGATATATGGGCAGCTTTGAAACAAATGAGGCCACTGAAGGCGCCAGGAGTGGATGGTATGACAAAGGAGCTACAAGGATACTTGGAGACAGGGAGCTTTCTAGAGGAACTAAATCAAACACTAATCACCTTGATACCAAAGAAAAAGTCTCCAACAAACCATTATGACTTCCGACCTATTAGTTTGTGCAGGGTTCTTTATAAAACTCTTTCGAAGGTTTTGGCAAATAGATTGAAGGTGATTTTACCGGAGATCATTGTGCCTAACCAAAGTGTTTGTGTCCCTGAGAGACTAATAATGGATAACATTCTGGTTGCTTTTGAGTGTTTTCACACTATGCAACAGAAGAAGAAAGGGAAGAGTGGATTGATGGTAGCAAAACTGGACATTACAAAAGCATATGATAGAGTGGAATGAGACCTTTTGGATGCAATAATGAGGAAGCTGGGGTTCAATGATCAATGGATTCATTTGATAATGACATGTGTATCTACAATTTATTTTAGCATCCTAGTGAATGGCCATAAAACAGATTGATTCAAACCCACTAGAGGGCTGAGAAAAGGAAACCCAATCTCTCTATATCTCTTCCTTCTTGTGGCAGAGGGTTTGTCTGGACTAATTACGAAGACAGAGGAGGAAGGGAAAGTCACAGGGATAAAAGTGAAGAGGGAAGCCCCTACAATCTCCCACCTTCTGTTTGAAGACGACAATATCCTTTTCACCAAAGCAACCAGACAAGAGAGCGAGCAACTGAAAAGCATTTTGAGTCTCTACGAGAAAGAGTCAGGACAACAGGTTAATTTGGTTAAATCGGAACTGTCTTTCAGTCTTAATATATCAAGGTGGAAAGAAGAGAAGACTTGGTTGGGATATTAGGCATGAAAAGCGTGCTTTTTCACGAGAAATACCTAGGTCTCCCCCACGAAAGTGGGTAGGAGAAAGAAAGCTGTCTTCGGATACCTCGTGAACAGGGTGCATAATAAGGTTTATGAATGAACCTAATTCCCTTGATGCTCGTGTTATGAAAGCGAAGTATTACCCCAATAGTAGGGGTGGGCATTCGGTCGGTTCGGTTCAAACCGAACCGAAATGATATATGCCATAAACCGAAAACTTCCCACACATATATTCTGCCCCACTTTCCCCTCTCTCTTTCTCCACCCAGCAAACAAAGCCTCACTCTCTCTCTCATTCTTCTTCTTTTCTTTTTTTTACAGATCTCTCTCTCTCCCCCCAACAAACAAAGCATCACTCTCTCTCTCTCATTCTTCTTCTTCTTCTTTACAGGAGATCTCTCTCCCCCAATTTCTTCCTAACCTCTGACCCTCTCAATGTCCACCTTCCTTTACTTCCCCATCCCACCACTGCCATGAAACCACAACCCCATTTTCGCCCATCTCCATCTCCAACCAGTAGATCAAAAGAAACTCAGTCGCACTGTCGCAAATCTCCCTCTATGCTTCCTGATTTGATCTAAGGTAAGTCATTTTTGGATTGCATGTCAGTTTTAGGGATCTGATTTTGACTTAGGAGATGTTCAGGAATCTTACCCATCACTTGTTTTTTATTTTGAATCCTTTTGAGATTCTGACCTTTGTTTTATTTTTTGGTGTGGCTGAGGAGAAAGAGGGTTGTGGCGATGCCGATCTGCTTAGAAAAGGACTACAGGTGGTGACGTGGTGTGGAGTTGGAGACGGACGTGCGGGCGACGGGATCCGAGAAGCAAAACAAGAGAGGAAGAAGTAAGAAGAGCGACAGATCGAGATATGAATCATCTCAAATCTGATGTCCAAGGCCAAGGGGGAAGAAGACTGCTTTTTATTTATTATTTATTTTCCTTTTCCTAGGGTTATTTGGTAGATCTGGAAGAAGGGGAGATAGAGAGAACGAGAGGGCTAGATCGAGTATTTTTTATGCGGGTGGGCTGGACTTGGGAAGTATTTTTATTGGGCTGTGGGAGACTCAGAATGGGCTTGGGAACACAGGCCATTGGACTAATTTGTTTAAATTCGGAAACTCGGTTCGGAATTCGGAAACTCGGTTCGGTTGAGATGGGTCTGGTTTCCAAATTATGGTTATTTCCCTTCCGCATTCCGAACCGAATAAGACTACTTCGGTTTCGGTTCGGTTTAAACTCGGTTCGGTCCGGCTCGGTTTGGGTTTACCGAACCGGATGCCCACCCCTACCCAATAGGGATATTCTGGAGGCAGATAGAGGATGGAGTTCGAGCTTTGTGTGGAAAGGGTTAGTGGAAGCAAAAGAGTTGATTAAGAAGGGTTTTCGATGGAGAGTTGAGAATGGAAACAACATTAATATTTGGCAAGACCGTTGGATTCCTAATGGTGAAGTACGTCAACATTTTCGCTTGCAGATGGAGCAGGATTGCAGAGGATACCAGAAAAAAGGATTAGAGATTCAAATAGGTGCGATGGTTAAACAGGAGACGAAAATGTCACTAGAGGAAGCGCATACGAGTGGAATACTTAAGGTGCATTCCCCATTATCAATGGTGGGCAACACTACTTCGCTAGCAGAGCTGGTGGACCTGGAAAGTAGAAGTTGGAGGCAGAACCTGTTGCATACGTACTTTTGCCTAGAGGATTGAAAACAAATTCAAAAGATTCCGATTCCCCGTCAAACATGTGCGGATGAAAGGGTATGGAGTCTAGAAACTACAGGGGATTACTCAGTGAAATCTGGGTACATGGCTATGGAAGAACAAGGATGGGGAGGAACTAGGAAAACTTTATACACCAGTTAATTAGGATCGTTTATGGAAGTTGAACATACCCCCGAAGGTTAGGCTATTTGCTTGGAGATGGATCAGAGATATCCTACCGACGAAAAATTGAATTTTAGATAGAACACAACAAGGAACTGGTGGGTGCCCTTTCTGTGACTTGCCAGAAACCCAAAATCAAATCTTCCAGGACTGTGCGTGAGCACGGAGATTGACCAGGCCTACTCACATACATATATTGTTCGAGAAGGAAGAGGAAATTACCTGCGAGGAGTGGTTTTGCAGTTTGTAGGAGACGGAGGATGACGAGCAGCTGGGGAAATTTTTCGTCTCACTCTGGTTTATCTGGGAACAACGAAATAGCCAGGTGTGGAATATCGGAAATTGGAAGAATGAGAGATTATCCCCAAAGCGATGGATTGGTTGAGTGGGTACCTGGAGTTGCAGGAGGGCAAGGATGAGCCGGATCAAAGAAATGAAGAGTGGAAACCGTCCCAATCGACGGACTTCACAATATCTGTGGACACATGCTGTTTTCTAGAACAAGGAACGAGAATGAGGGTGATAATTCGAAGGAAATACGAGTGGTTTGTGGCGGCGGCGATAAGAATAACCCGGCGACAGTGGGAGGTAGCAGAGGCGGGAGCCATGGCGGTGCTTTTTGGGTTGGAGATGGCTCATCGCCTTCAGCTGCAGTCCATTGCCATTCAATATGATTGCCAGCGGGTGGCGAGGCTGATAGAGGGCCATGTGGACTCATCTCTAGAAGTGGGATAGATTGTGAAGGATATAAGAGAGATGAGCTGGGGTTTCAATAGGGTGGAGTGGGCTTACATTAGAAGAGCCCTCAAACATTCAACCCATTATATGGCTCACATAGCTTGCAATTGGGAGGAGGATGATGTTGGGTATGAATAGGCCACCAGTTTTGTTGGTTCCTCTTCTTAGGGAAGAGTCCTTATGTATTATGTTTAAACATTTCTCATTAATAATATAAGCGTGAAGTATTTCTTAAAAAAAAAAAAACGAGTGATCGGTGAGGAAAAAAGCATGTTGGTTACGCTAAGCATAATTCGGCCCAGGCCTGCACTGCATACGCGATTAGCAAATGTTCTTAATTCGGCCCAGGCTTAGTAGCAGGCCCATTGTAAACTATATAAAGTTACAAACGTAGATGGCTCACCATTACTGGCGGAGGCAGAGGTCACATATTCTACAGCAGAACGAAGCAGCGCGAGGGACGGCGATAGACAAGGAAGAATCGTCGGAGCGAGCGAATTAAGAAGATGATAATTCCAGTCCGTTGTTTCACTTGCGGCAAGGTTTCGATGCTACTGCCTTCTCCTGAATGATATGGATATTGTGCATTCGTTGCTTTCGGTTTTGTGTTCCTAGCCAATCCCTTTGCCATGACTCCGTTTGATTTGAGTAATCTAGGGTTTCTGAAGTAATGTTTCAGTAGAATATAGTTCAGTTGGGCAGTCGGACTGCAACGATAAAAAAATGATGTTTGCTTCCCTTGCTGTGGTGTTCGTGTAATGCTCTGAATATTGGGTTGTGTTGATTTTTTAGTTTTGATGCTGTTTGTGTTTTTTCTAGGTAATTGGGCACAAATGGGACACTTACCTTGATCTTCTTCAAGCTGATTACACTGAAGGGTAAAGTACTTTCCTCTCAAACGACTTCTCCCCCCATTCTCCGAGGGTGTAGATGTTTGTTCACAAGTATTGGAGCTATAGATTCAAAGTAAACATGCATAGTATACAACAAGCATAATCTACACAGCCAATGACATATTCTTCATTGTTTTTGTTCTGTTTCTATACCCGGTACAGCTGCACAACTGACCTGCCTTTGCTGCTTGTAATTCTGTACACTTGTTTGGTTCATGTGAATCGTCAATATTTCTTGTCACCTTCATTTGTTCCCTTGGACGGTGGAGTCTTGTGGGTAGTTCTCTGCGTCTTGTAAGTTGCTGCTTAGCAATCGGATGCTGCATATTTGTATTCATATGTTTTTGGTCTCTACTGAGGTGTTTTGAGTTTTAGCAATTTGGGTATCTGTATGTTGCCCTGCAATATGCTTGTTTTGCCTTAGTTCTGTGTCTCTTTCTTTTTCTGGCATCACATTTTTTCTTTTATAGAATTTTCTGGCATCACATTTGAATCAGTATGAACACTGCTATCTTCCTAATCTGTGCAACCATGTTGGTTGAGATAAACCCTTTCCGGAATCATGATGAAGCTCTGCTGTAACATTTTTGTTATTTGCATTACAGGGATGCACTTGATGCATTGGGGTTGGTCCGTTATTGTTGCAGACGGATGCTCATGACCCATGTTGACCTCATTGAGAAGCTTCTGAACTACAATAGTAACTCCCTCTCTCACTCTAACTAATGCATGGGTGCTTGCTTTTGTGTGCATATTACTCACTACTCTAACTAGTTGCACTGATAGAATGTGCTAGCACATGCATATTGTAACATTAGTCCTAAAAGTAGCGTCAATTCATCTGGTTTATGGTCGAGCCAAGTCGTATATTCTTATCCGGGATACAAAATTCGTACCATCTGGGAGTAGCTCTGTTTACTTGGTAATCGACTGGTTTAACCCTGCCATATGTATGCTAAAACAGATTGGCAGACGCTCCAAATAATACTTAAGTTTGGAGCATGTTTACTTGGTAATCGACTGGTTGCTAAAACAGATTGGCAGACACTCCAAATAATACTTAAGTTTGGAGCATTATGGCAAGTAAAAAGGTCCCAAAATTTCGTGTGAATCCATGCCATCTGTGGAACTAGATGATTATTGTCTGGTTTAAACCTGCTGTGGGTTGAATATCACTAACACTCCAATTAATGTGTAGCATCGAATCATTATTCATCACGTAACCGGGTTTCTGTTTTGTTTTTGTGTAAAATGGCGACTATTTTCAACTTTTATGCCTCTTCTTTCCACTCCACCTGACGATTTACCCTTCGTTGCTGCAGCTCTGGAGAAAAGCGAGGGCACTTAAAGTCGGAACATGAGCAGTTTTGCAACAGCGTAGAAGTTAGAAGGCTAAAATGAATGGACGATGGTGGAGACATGAGCATTTGGTGAAGTGTGTTTGTGAATTGGGGTCGCCTGTGTTTGTGAATGGACTAAAATCTGTCAGTTAATGTTGAGATGATTGTATCATGAAGACTGATATGCTTCAAATCTAGCAGGGTTGCCTAATATGTCGAACTGGTATGCCTTTGCGGCTTTGCCTACTAAGGGAGGTGACGTTTACTCGACTGCCGACGTTTACAACCTAACTTCTCGAAACGTCGCCGTTAGTTGCCGATCTCTGATCTACTAGACTACTACCGAACCCGGCCACCAGCTGTTATTGACCCTGAATCTGAAAGGGAAAGCAAAAACAACAACCCATTGCGTTGCCACGAGTCTCTCTCTGGCTGAGCGGTGGCCCGACACGACCCAGTTTTGGATTTGTAGATCCGAATCCCCAGACAGACTATTGCAAGCAATCAATCTTCTGTAACTTCCTCATATCATATAATCACCCCTATTTCCCGCATCTATCTCTCTCTAGAAAGCTCGTTTCTTTTTCTTTCTTCAACGGCAACTGAACACAGAAGAACCCTAGTCAACAACAACCGACGCTGAACTCTTCCAGTCAAACTCGCTAAACGCCTCTCTCTTTCTTACTATCCTTCCTGAACGGTTCGCTATCGCTACCCAATTGGGTTTTCCGCCGCTCGCAATTGTTGTCGTGACGAAACAGTAGAACGAAGTAAAAAGGAGGAGTTTTCTCCCCCCACGGGTTTGGGGTTATAGGAGATTTGGTTTGGGTGGTGAACAGAGATATGAAGAAGATGGAGGGGACGAAAGGGTATGCTGTTAATGGTGGGGAAAAAAGCAATGGGAGCTCTAGCAATGGTATTCGTAGGCTGCCTGCTCCCAGCCTCCCTCCACCTCCGCCGCCGTCGTACCGGCAGTGTTTCGCCAATGCTGGTGTGCCTGTGTCTTGTAAGCGGACTCTGGTTCGCCATCCGTCTCTTGTAAGTTCCTCCCGCTCCCGCTTCTTGGCCTCTTTTTTTTCTGTAGTGAACTGAGGTCGAGTTTGGCCCATGGTTAGTGTTGCTTTATTTATTGGGTTGTCATTCAAATCAAATTGGGTGGTTTTTGTGGGTCTTGAATCTTGATGTTGGTATGCTAGTGTTTCCCTGTAAAGCTTGTAAGTTGTAACTTTTAGTCTCACTTGGATTGGCAATTGAAGGCCTAAGCTTTTCCAACTTAGGGGTTTCGGCGATGAAGTAGAGTTTGTTTCTGGTACTTGTTTTGTTACCTTTAATTTGTCCTTTATGAAGATTGAAAGGGTTACGAGTAATCAAGCTGTGGCATGGGTAGAGGTGGGATTTGAGGTTGTGTTCCCTGCTTCTCTGATCAATTTGTGTTAAGATTGTTGAGATCACGAGTTCAGACTTGCTACCGTGAACTCCTGCTTTGCCTTGCATTTTTACTGGGGAGCATTTGTCACTTTGATGGTTGATTTAAAGCTTTTTGCTATCACACTCTGAGTGAAATGTCTCTCACACACACCCACTTTTCAGTATGTTCGTATGTGTGTGAAATAAAGCCATTTACATGTTTAGCTCAGTTTTGTCGGTGTTGCAATTTCTTCTACCTAGTATTCTTTGTGCATTTCATTTGGGATTCTTACTAGTATATTTATGCAGGTGAAGACATCTGCCTTTGAAATCTCTTTGCAATCTGAAGTGAGTATAAGGACTCACGGTCCTGATTACATCCCCATTGTCCGATCAGGAGCCTTTTCGGATATTGGCTTTCGCCCCAGAATGGAGGATGTCTATACTTGTATTGATGATTTCACAATTGATTATGGTCTCGGACATGATACTGATGGGCCTAATGCCTTGTATGGGGTACTTCTCTTTGGTCTTTCAATTGTGATCTCCCCCTCCTTTTGGTGAATGCTTAGGTTCTGGATAATTTAATCACCAAATGTTCATTAGGTTTATGGTATTGTAGCATTTGTCAGTCTTCTCGTGTCAAAATTGATGAATACAGGATAGACTGTTATGTTTTAGCTTGGTTTGTATGATTGTGGCAAATATTAAGACTTCAGGCTTTTTATGTCGGTTTTTCTTCTTGCCTCGGTGTCAAAAGAAATGATATGTTTTCATCATTGATCCTTGTGCAGTATTGTTTCCGGTCTTCACTGATGATTATTCTGCAAATATTGGACAGCCATTAGAATGTTGTGCCTAACTTTTGATGTTTATGACACGACGACCAGGTGTTTGATGGTCATGGAGGGAAACATGCTGCAGATTTTGCATGCCACCATTTGCCGAGATTCATAATTGAGGATGAAGACTTTCCAAGAGATCTAGAAAGGGTCATTGCATCTGCTTTTCAGCAGACTGATAGTGCCTTTGCAGAGGCATGCTTGCTTGATGCTGGTCTTGCTTCTGGCACTACTGCATTGGTTGCTCTTGTTATGGGAAGGTTAGCAGATGTTTTTATCTCGCAACTATATATGCAGTTGATGACTCAAGTCTGCGGATGGTTTGGTGATTTATCATTTAAGTATCTACAAGAATGAAGCACCTCTTTGAAATTTACATGACTTTTTTGGAGACTCCTTTTGCAACTTGTACTTATATATGCAGGGCTTTGATATATCATGCCCTTGTAGTGCATCACATACCTTGGTTCATAACGGTCCTTTAGTGTTTGAAGGGGCTCTAGAATGTCGCGACCACAGAAGTAGAATGCTGTGTTGAAGTCAACAAGTTCAATGACTTGGCCCTTTACTGTCTGTCAATACTAAATGCTATTTAAGTAGACTTTGTTTTTTGAGATCCTTATGCTTATTATGTCATATCTTTGCAGGGTAATAGGGTTCTTTCATATATCAATATCAGAGTTGTTTGTTTTGTTGTTTGGTTTCTTGATTTTCAGTCTGTGATGGCAGGTTATTGGTGGTGGCAAATGCTGGAGACTGCCGGGCAGTGCTTTCTCGGCGTGGCAAAGCAGTTGAGATGTCTCGGGATCACAAGCCAGGTTGCGCCAGAGAACAAAAACGCATAGAGGCATCTGGCGGATCTGTTTATGACGGCTACCTAAATGGACAGCTCAATGTTGCTCGGGCAATAGGAGATTGGCACATGGAAGGGCTGAAAGCCCAGGAAGGCGGCCCGCTTAGTGCCGAGCCTGAGCTAATAACCACAGACCTGACAGAAGACGATGAATTCCTCATCATAGGATGTGATGGAATATGGGACGTGTTCAGGAGCCAAAATGCAGTAGACTTCGCCAGGCGGAGGCTTCTGGAGCACAATGATCCCGTCTTGTGCAGCAAAGATCTGGTTGATGAAGCCCTAAAGAGGAAGAGTGGAGACAATCTATCTGCAGTTGTTGTTTGCTTTCAGTCTGGGCCTCCCCCGAACTTGGTTGCCCCACGGTCTAGGGTGCAGAGGAGCTTCTCTGCCGAGGGCTTGAGGGAGCTGCAGAGTTTCTTGGATGACTTGGCTAGTTGAGACGGTGGTCATGGCTACTGGTTCCCGCGATTCCAATTTTCCCAGAAGAGTCCACTAATTTGAATTTATTAGGCGTAGTTCTAGATATTGATGAGTCACTCCCAACTGTAACATATGCGGCTGCAAGAAGATGGTAATTTGCTTCATAATATGTTCCCTCTCATTGAAGTTGGTCAGACAAATGCCTTAATGTTGGGACCGTTTATTCCTTGGTTCTCAAGCAACCCCAAATAAGGAGAATGGTGCCTAGGACTTTTAAGTTTGGTGGTCTGCGCAGCGGCATTAGGATTTGAAGTCTTAGCATCTGTACCATTACTTTTGACTTTTTCCAGCATCGTTTAACTTGTTCAGTAAGGAAGTTAGTTTAATGTTTGGTAGCATGGTGTAAAGTTCCTTTATATTTAACAGTCATTCATACTATATGACGATTTCAAGAGATCAAGTTGCTATATTTCTGTTTGGATGCAACCTTTTTCAGTTCAAAGGCACTTCAGATGAGATCTTGATTGACATGTTTTTTTGGTAAAATTGCAGTTGAATAACAGAACAAGCAAAAAGGAGAAGTGAGATCGAAGTGTAGGTAATTACTAATTTTGCATTATGTTACTTCAAAGTATAGGTAGCTGCTTACAGTATACAGATATTTGGAAACTTGTCTCATCTCTTCTGGAAATTAAAGGCCTTGATGGAGACTGCGAACATGAAGCCAAAAAGGAAAGAAATTCCCACAAGAACTATGGCAACTACCCCAACGAAATCATGTCTAAAGCCGAAGTAGTCTCGGAGGAACTCCTCCACTGTTTCGTCGCTACCATCAAAGGTCTCTGCAATGTCACCATATTGTGAAGCCACCAGTCCGTACAATGTCCAAGCCATTGGGCACGCCCAATAGTACCATCTCCACCAGATTGGTATCCTCTGCATGTTAACTTCAGTCAGTTGGAAACAACTTAAAGCAGTAGAAAGGGTTGATGAGCTAGTGAGAAGATGGCTTACCGGGCGAGGCACGATAAAGCCTGAGAACAGGTTCCAAAATCCAAATAAGGCAGTTGAAATTATGGCAGCAATGTGGTGGTTTGGAGTGATGCCAACCGTCATCATCCCATAGAGAGTGAAGTACATCAATGTGAAGTACATGTAGAACATGTACCAGAAGAACTTGGCTGTCGTCCACTCGAAACCGATCATGGCATATACTATGACTCCATAGATGAGGGTTTGGATTAGATTGTATGGAATTTCAATCACCACCTGACCAAAGGCGTAAGGCAATGCAGAGTACATCCCAGCTGCTCTTTCTCTATAAAAAACTGTTCTCTCTATGGATACGACTGGTTGCACTGATGTATTGTTCTGGAATCCCATGAACAGAATTGCTGCATACATGGAACCCATTGAGTTCAAGATGTCCTGAGGCTTTCCTCTGCAAAATAAAAATAAAAATCAAATTCAAAGGGAAGTTTCATTATTTACATATGCAGGAGATGGGGGAAGATCAGATTGAGGAGAGGAGGTTGCATTTTTCACTTCATTTTATCACATACCTTTTAGAGCCTAGATTCCAGAATATTGTCCCAAACATGAGAGCTATGAATGTTGTGAAGAGGAATCTCACAGCATTATAAGGCGGGTTTCGCCAGTAAGACCAGTGCTGCTTCTTCAGGCAAGCCATGCATTGGGTAAAGAATGTTTGAGCGTATTGCCTCTGGAAGAAGATATCTTTGGAACCGGGTAGTGGTGAACTTAGCTCATTGATCAATCCCTTGTTCCTTTTATATAATTCAGAGTTCTTATATATGTCTGTGAAGTTGATCCCAAGAGCATCTTCTTGACCTGCTGTAGTTACCTCTAACATCCACGTTGCTGGATTGTATCCATCTTTTATCTTTGAAACTCCATCTACTGCCTCAAAGTACTTGATGAGATAGCATGCATGGCGGCCAATTGGACCAACATAGATTTCCTCCCCTCCTCTCTTTAGTAGGAGTAACTGCGAGCAATTCGGATAAGTAAGAAAAACTTGGTAGGTTATGATGAAAGCTAGATAATGCTTAATGCATAATCCTTACCTCATCGAAAGCATCAAATATGTCAATGCTAGGCTGATGAATGGTGCAGACTACGGTTCTCCCAGTATCAACTGTGTTCCTCACGGTTCGCATTACAATGGCTGCTGCTCTTGCATCGAGTCCAGAAGTTGGTTCATCCATGAAGATTATGGAAGGATTGGCCACTAGTTCAACTGCAATGGTCAGCCTCTTCCTCTGCTCAGTTGATAAACCATTCACTCCGGGCAACCCCACGAGTGCATCTCTTAGTGGAGTCAGCTCTACTAGCTCCATCACTTCCTCAACAAACATCTGCAGAATGACAGAAATATTTTCAATGTCTTGGAAACTTGGAGAACTTTTATCCGCAAAGTAAAAAAAAAATCAGTGTGGTGACCTTTCGTGTATCGGAGTTTGATTGTGGAGAAAGCCTGAGCCATGCGGAGAAGATCAACGACTCATACACTGTAACATTAGGGGAATGGATATCTGTCTGCTCACAATAACCTGCAATTCTAGCGAAAGTTTCTTGCTTTTTCGGGTACCCTGAAATCTTAATCCTTCCTTCAATATATCCACCGGTTTTCCTTCCAGCAAGAACATCCATTAGAGTAGTTTTCCCAGCTCCACTGACTCCCATCAGTGCGGTGAGGACTCCTGGCCTGAAAGCTCCACTGACCCCCTTGAGAAGCTCCAGACGATCCTCCAGGATCCCCTGAGCTCTCATCTCCTGTGGCATGTCTATGGAATACCTGATGTCTTCGAAGGTGATGGAGAGTGGAAGGAATGGAAGAACCAATCCTCTTCTCTTGTCTTGATTTAAGTTGCCAACTCTTGGTGATGGGGTTCTGGATGAAATACTTCTCCCGCTTTCGTCGTTACATCTTTCTGGCAGGTCTATATTAGTTGTATGTGAAGTTGTGTTCTCTTCCGAGTCTTCCTTTAGTATGATCGTCTGTGGCTTGTCAAATGCTGCAACAACAACATCATGAACATCAGAAAAAAATCAGGGTGGTAGTAGATGTGGCAAATGGGTTCTGTTGGTGGGTTGTGGGGATATAAATGCTCACGGTATAGATACTTGAGAGCAAAAATGAAGAAGAGATTGAAGAGAAGCAAGGATCCAGTCAGTGCTCCAACTCCAATCCAATACATGTATGCATAGGGGAAATATCCACGAGACTTGAGGATCTGGACCCCAAGCGAGTCAGTTGAGTTGGGAGGCACATGACTCCAACTGTGGCCGAGAAATTCGTTGACAGTGAGACCATTCTGCACATACATCAATGGCGAGATCCAGTAACCCCAGATCCACCATATCTTCACATTTACTGAAATAAAATAACAATGTCAACACTGGTTCAGCTCGAAGAAGATTCAGCACAGATGTGTGACTTTTACACACCTCTTGAGATGATGAAGCCACCCAACACTAAGAGGGTAATCATAACGAATGACCCGACTGTATTAGCAACGATCATGTTCCTTCCTACTGCTCCTACGAGTCGGAACAACCCGGAAGCCATCTGGTTTGCCAGAACGAATAACAGGTACTGCTTCACAAACCTGCCATAAGCATTTCTCTATAATTTCATCAACTTGTATGTGCAAGGTAGTCAAAATATAGACTCTGCAGAGAATTCACAAATTTACGAGAACAAATAACAGGTACTGCTTCTACTACAAGATTCGTTAGTGACTTTGATTTACCTTCCAATGTTTGGATCAAAGCCAATTGGATAGTAAGTGAGGATGACCCATATTGCGCCCTCTACAAACGTGATGGGAATCTTGAGCACCCAAGTAGGAAGAGCATATGCCCATGCAGGGAAGAAGAGAAGGTCTCTTTGCTTGTAGAACACCGGAAGCTTATGGATAGTCATTGCCAACTCTGAGAGCCCATTGAAAATCATGACAAACATGCCAAAGAAGATAGCTCCCATGTAAGTCGCTCCATCATTCAACGTCTCGTGATGCATGTTCGTCCTCAAGAACACTGTCGTGGTCAAGAAAGCCACAATCACAAGCTGAGTCATCTTGAAAGCGTAGATAAACGAGTTCCTCTTCATGAGCAAATACTCCCTCGCGATGCAAGCTTTCAGAAGTTCCTTCTTGTTGACACCGAATTTCTTGGTCGTTAGTGCAGCAGGATGGCTTTTCAACTTGTCGAATGGAGTTGCCAGCTCATCTCCTTGCTTCTTGCCAATGTGGAATGACTGAAATGCTTCTGCAAATTCCATCGAAGATATGAAGTTGTAAGGCTCATCTTTTCTCACCCAGTACTGCTCCTGATCCTTTCTTGATGTTACTTCCTGCAAGAAATCTGCTACTCCTTTCCTCTCCGGGCATCTAAATCCCATGTGCTCGAAGAACTCAAGCACATTTTCTCGAGGGCCCTGGTAGGCAATGTAGCCGTCGGAGAGAAGAACAATATCATCAAAGAGATCATAGGTTTCTGGTGCAGGTTGCAAAAGAGAGATAAGAGCAGTTCCCTCGAGAATGTGGATGGATTGTCTTAGTGAATTGATGATTTGGAAGGTTGTTGAGCTGTCCAAACCAGTAGATATTTCATCCATGAATAGTGCTCTTGACGGTCCAACCATCATCTCCCCTGCATCATCAAGATCAAAGTACGAGGGTAAAAAGATTGGAGCTTGAGCATTAGTCTTTTTCAATAATGATGGTGTCAACCGTTTTTACCAGTTGTAACTCGCTTCTTTTGCCCGCCTGAGATGCCTCGAACCATTTCGTCGCCTACCAGTGTATCAGCACAAACTTCAAGCCCTAAGATCTGTCGGGGGAAAACAGAATGATTGTTAAACCAAATATAAACACTAAAGACACATTTTTTTTACCACGGAATTGGAATTATGTTTGTCATACATACCTTGAGAATGTAGTCAGTAACCACATTGACTTCTTGGCCTTCCAGTGCTGCCGCCTGCAAGATTCCACCAAGAACTCTAGCATGTTAGTTCACGACTACATTGAACTAATCAAATAGGTGTAATATTTCAATTTGGTTTTGATTTCTCACCTTCATGAAGAGATCAATGTCAGGATCTGGCTTAATTTTTGCTGTTTTCTCTCTTCTACATAGTTCAGTCAGAATGTCTGCAGGCATTAGCAAGTGGTTTTACAGAGCCATTAAGCTAGAACACTCCCAAACAACAACGACACTAGGTAGATTGCAGTAGAAGCATGTAACGAACTAACTAACGAACCATTTTGGGTTCCAACTCCCTGACATCTTGCAGAGAAAGCTAGGGTTTCTCTGACAGTCATTTCTCCAATATGAAGGTCATACTGACTGATGTAAGCTGAAGTTCTCTGGGGTACAAACTCATTCATTTCATGACCATTGTATGTAACTTTTCCTGAAAACTTCCCAAAGAAAGAAGAAGAAAAAAAGAGTTAATTCATCGCAAGGAAGGTTACAACTTACAAATAAGGCTGGGGGGTCTAAAAACCAAGGTCAAGCATCGTTACCTTAAGATCTTTACTAAGTTTTCCAGCCAAAGCAAGCAATAAGGTAGTCTTTCCTGAGGCAGGGGGACCTAAAAGCAGTGTCATTCTGCAAATTTTGAAGTTGGCAGGCAAAATTGAGATCAGACTAAAGAACTAGCATCTCCCCCCTCTCGGGGTAATATGGGCTCGGCATTAATCCGGTCAATTTTTTCAATATTTATAAAATTTGTAGGAAAAAAATCGGACTCAATATGTTCAATGCGGTC